AATTCCTTCCCGGCCCCTGAGGCACCCACAGGAGCCCTGAAGCCCGGCATGGCCAGACCCCCGCAGACAGCGCTTTCCCCTCCTGCCCTGCCACGAGGACGGCACCTAGTCCAACCTCTGCGTCCCAATCTGATGCCTGCCCCCAGATCAGCCCTTGCTCTCCCGCTGCCCCTTCCACAACTGCGCAATATCCTTCCTGAAGCCGGTCGTGCCTTGCCCAGACCTGCCGTGCTCAGACCCCGTTGCACAGCGTCACTCCTCTAATGCCTAGAAGCCTTCCCGTCTCCGGGTTCAGTTTGTTCCTGACCAGTCCGTGCTCATTCCCCTGCGAGCCCGTGCTGCCCTTTCGCTACCCGGCTCCTCCCGTCCCTGACCGTCACTGCCACTTTCTCCAGCCATCAAGACGGGGGCGATGGCCCCTCTTCTTCCCTGCTGGTCCCCTGCTTGGCCGTGTGCCTGGAGAAACTTGTGCTGCTTGATTTAGTTTCCTTGGAAAGGCCCAAGTCGGCCAAGCCTCCGGCCATCCTCGCTTCACTTCACCCCAGACTTCCCGGACTCTGCAAGGCCTCTCTCTGCCTCTTTCTCTTTCTCTGCCTCTGTCTTTCCCGGTCAACCCGGTTGTCTGCTCTTCCTGGACCCTTGACTGGGCCCTGGACTGGACCCTTCATGGACCCTTCATGGGCCCAAGGCTGGACACAGCACTCCAGGTGAGGCCTCACCAGTGCCGAGCGGAGCAGAGAATCACCTGCCTTGATCTGCAAGTGGCGCTCCTGTTCCTGCTTAGAATAATAGAAAGTGAGGGCTGGAAGGGAGCTCAGGAGGGCACATCTAGTCCAACTCCCTGCTCAAAGCAGGACCAGCCCCAACTACATCTTCCCAGCCAGGGCTTTGTTGAGATGGTCCTTAAAACCTCCAAGGATGGAGACTCCACCACGTCTCTAGGTATCCCATTCCAGTGCCTCACCGCCCTCCTCATGAGAGAGTTTTTCCTAATATCCAACCTCAACTTGTGGCAACTTGA